AACCGCTAAATCATCGTCGCCGTGGACTACTTCACCAAGTGGGTCGAAGCGGAACCTATGGCCAGCATCACAGGGGCCAGGTGTCAGAAATTCGTCCACAAGAATATCCTTACCCATTTCGGCGTCCCTCAGGAGATCATATCCAACAACGGCACCCAGTTCGAGGCCACGCCCTTCCAAGAGCTTCTCCAAGAGTGGGGAATCAAAAATCATTTCTCCTCCGTTGCCTATCCTCAAGGTAACGGTCAGGTCGAGAACGCCAACAGAACCATCCTGGAGGGCCCGAAGAAGAAGCTCCAGGACGCAGGGGGCAGTTGGGCCGATGAGCTCCCCAATATCATGTGGTAGTACCGTACTACGCCAAGGAGGGCGACGGGCGAAACACCCTTTGCCCTTTGCTATGGCTTTGAAGCAAAGGCGCCCCTAGAGGTCACCATACCCAGCCGACGGGTGGAGCGTTATGAGCCTGAGGCCAACGAAGAAAGCATGAAGATTGATCTCCACCTGATCGAAGAAAGACGGGAGCAGACCTTCATCCGGGCAGAGAACTACCGGCGTCAAGTAAAATCATACTATGACGCCAAGGTACGTGCCCGAGAATTCCAGGTGGGGGACTATGTCCTTCGCCGAAGAGAGGCGAGCAAGCCGACGGAAGGTGGCAAGCTGACACTCAAGTATGAAGGCCCCTATATCGTCAGTGCCGTGGTCAAACCCGACACCTACAAACTAAAACACCCGAATGGGTCCAATGTACCACGAACGTGGAATGTACATCACTTGGTGAAATTCTATCAATAATCCGGGGAGGGCGCAGTCGGCAAAGCCCTCACCTTACCACGGATTGTTGATCGAACGCCACCCTCGGCCTCGAACCACTTAACAATAAAAGTTGTTCTTTTTCAAAGATCAGAAAAACGTACTATACTACACTGACCCCTCAGAGCGAAGATACTCAGGAAAGGTCAACAGAGCACATCGTTCCGGCCCCTCAAAGCGAAAATGCTTAGGAAAGGCCGACGTTGTCCCCAGGACAAACGGCCCGCAAAGAGCCCACGTCTTGAAATGGGAAGCTCACCGCGTCGTCTATCCACAAATCAGCAGGACGACAGGTCTGAAATCATGGCCGAGGTGACAAAAATCCCCAAACTCAGGGATGAGAAATGGCAGTCGTCGGTAACCGACCAAACGCCTTAGCCCGTGTCATAAATAGGCGACGGGACCTCCCTGAGATCACAGGACGATCCAGTAGGACTCCTTACCGGCCGAGGGACTATCGACCCCCTTGGCCGAAGCCTGAAAGAAGGACACCCACTCCTCGCTCAAATGAGTAAAGAGGAAGAAAATAAAAGAGGGACAGCCGAAGGACCGCACACTTGCCGGTCTGAAGCGATATCCCCAAAAATAAAAGAGGGATAGCTGAAGGACCGCGCACTTGCCGGCCTGAAGCGATATCCCCAAAAATAAAAGAGGGAAGCCGATGAGCCGCGCACTCGCCGGCCTCGAGCAATAAAAATTGATGGATAGTCTACCCGGGGGTATATATCCGAAGGGTTATTGCGGAGAATAACTAGAGAGAAGTCAGAGCAAATAAGTAAGAGAGAGAGTGTATATTCGATATGTATTAAGCGTGTTATCACTTTTCAGCGTGGTTACAAATGAGGAAATGGGGTGCTATTTATAGCAGCAATAAATGCCGGGCAGGGACACGTGTCAAGCGCTCATTGGCCGAGGGGTCACCTCAACTGGTTGGCGCTGGCAGCCGCATGTGGCCGCATTTAATGCGGCTGTTGGATGGGACGTCTGTGCAGAATACGGTGATCTGTACGCATGTGAGGCGGATATCTTGTCGAGTGAGATGCCTTCGGCTATAGAGCAGTAGCCGAGGGCTCTTCCTCCCGATGGCACCCCTGGTGCCGAGGGCTCATAGTGCCGAGGGCTGCTGTTTTCGCCGTTTTCTCCCAGTTTCTTAGTTTGCTCGAGAAACCCGTTCTGTGAGGATTTGGAGCCTTCGGCCAGGGGGCCGAAGGCACCCCTGTGCGTTGTGCGGACTGCTTGGTACTCCGGGCGCTGTGAATTGGGCCTGTTGGGCCTTTTGGGCCTGTTGGGCCTTTTGGGCCTGTTGGGCCTTTGCTGGAGTAGTAGGAGTCTGTGGGCCGGGGGTTCCCGGGCCATATACTCCATCAGGAGTCCCTCACTCCTTTTGCCGAAAGGTACTTGAGGGAAAAGGAGTAATTTGTGCTTTCCCTTTGATGTTGTCCCGTTGTGATCTCTGAAGTTGGTGAGGAGTTGTTGCTTTTATGTCCCTGCCGAAGGCGGTCCCTCAGTTACCCACATGTCGGGACTTGAGGGCTTGCTTTGTTGTTTGTTGGAATTTCACAGATTTTGTAATTTAATGATTTTCCCGAAGGGGTCCTCCAGTCCCCCACTCATTGAGGCACTTGTAAAGTGGTGAAAAGGAGTAAAGTAGTTACGTTGCTGTTGTGGGCCGAAGGCTGACGCTTTTCGTTTCATTTTTGGGGGGATGCCTCGTTAAAAACCTCATTAGGAAAAACCCTTTGGGAAAAAATCCTAATGAGGGAAAAAGAGTGCACCGAATTCCCCCAATGATGAATCGAAAATGTCCAACCTTGGTAAAAAATGGAGAATGACGGGAATCCCGAAGGCTCTCTCTTCTGAGGGCTCCTGTGTTGATTAGCCGAAGGCTGGCTGTTGATGTCCTGGTGGCGCCGAAGGGGAGCCCCTCAATCCAGGGATCGAGGGCCTGCCAGATGAGGGCAGCGGTGAAGCTGTTACCGGGGGGTCCACTGTATGTTGATGGAGTGGTGATTAAGATACCCGAGGGCCATGGGCCATCCGTCAATGAGGCACTCCCCGGGGGCTACCCGGTTTTGCGGTGCTGAGGGGAATACCCGAGGGGTACCCTGATATGCAGCCCTAGGGATCTGGAGGAGTGATCCCGAAGGCGTGTGTAATGTGCGCTTGTGGGGCACAACCTGGGGGTACTTCTGGGTGAGTGCACCCGGAGGCTATCCTTGATGAAGTGGAGTGAAGTAGAAAACCCGGGGGTTCCCAAAATATAGTCGTTGAAAATATAGCCGTTGGAATATGTAACGACAGGATATAGCCGTTGGGGGGGTGGCACACGTGGCGTGTGAAGGCTGGTTGTCCGTGGGCGGCGTCACCGGTTGGGTGAAACGGCGGTGTGTAATGATGGCGTCCATCCGGAGGCCCGGAATCCAGGCCCAAGCCCGGATTCATCGCCTATAAATACCCCAAGGCCAGGCATTCCTCCGTGTGCGATAAACTTGTTAGCGAAGCTCTGTCAATTTTTCTAGAGAGAGAAAGTTCAGCCTTCGGTCAAAACTCAGCTTTCGAGGTCAGTGCTCCCTGCCTTTCTCCTTCTAGCATAGCTGTACTGCGCCCTTAGTTTAGGAGATAGAATTCACTAGGAACCTTAGTTCCCCCGAACCCTCGAGCTAGAGTGTAGAATGTCGCCCCAGAGTGACTCTCAGGACATCTCGAGGACGCCCTCGATGGAGGACGAAGGCATCTCCGACGTGGAGTCCAGCAGCAGTCAGCCCTCGGATGGTGGTGACGTAGCCCTCGCCACTGAGGTGCAGAAGGATCTGACGGCCGAGGCCGAGGCGGAGGAATTCGAGCGGACCGCGGAAGATGAGGAGTTAGCCCTCGCCGTCCAGGTTGCTGAGGAGGAAGAAGAAAAGGAGAGGGCGAAGGTCACTGTGGCCGTCCTTCCCCCTCGGGGTGCTGGTGAGGCCAGTACCTCCCAGCCGCTGAATGCAGTTCCCATCCGGGTGGCCCCCGGGAAGAAGAAGAGGAAGACGAAGGCTGGCCCCCAGAAGAAAGTAAGGGCCGTCGATCAAGGGGGGCCAGTAGATCTGCCGGAGGGTTACTCCTTCCTGGACACCGCCGCTCTGGAGATAAAGTCCCAAGCTGACAGGGCGGATATCTACATCACCCAGTTGCACGTAGGGCCCTCGGCCGTAGTAGTCGAGCCGGGTCCTGATGATGTGTTGTCGCGGCCCCCCGAGGGATGTATAGCCGTGCACGTGCTCTCGGTCTCGATGGGCCTCCGGTTCCCTCTCCATCCGTTCCTCCGGGAGTACTTGAGGCACACCAGCCTGGTTCCCTGCCAACTGACCCCCAATAGCCACTCGTACATAACTGGGTTCGTGAACCTGTGCAAACTCCGGGGGGTTACACCGAGCTTGGAGCTATTCTTCCAAAGCTTCAACCTATGCCGGGGGGGCCATACCAATGCCGAGGGCTATGCGAACTTACAGCAGATAGCCCAGTTCAAATTGTTCACCGAGGCCCCTTCTTCCAACAAGGGGTGGAGAGAGCGATGGTGCTACATCAGACTGGCCGACAGCCCTTTCCCGAGGGAGTTGCGGAATTGCTTCCGGCGTCATGTGAAGGTCAAGAGCGCCGCCCTCGAGAAGGATGGCCTGAAGATTGCCGAGATTCCGGAGGGGCGGGATAAGAACATAACCATCAAGGAGTGCACCCTCGAGGAAGACCTGTATGCCCTCGGATTCCTGAGGTATCGGTTCATCGGGGAGACCGAGGAGAAGTATCCCCTCTATGATAAAGCCTTCGTGGGGGCAGGAGGTAGTGGCCGGGGGCTTTACATTTTTGTACTTTGAGATTTTCTGTCATGTTTGTTGTCGTGTCTCGAACCCCTCGGTGCTAACATTTTAACTTGTTGTTTCTTTGCAGGTAGCAGGATGAATGCCAACGCTCTTTTCGCAAAGAGGAAGGGCAAGACCCAGTCCAAGGAGAAGGGGCCCTCGCGCCAGAAGCCAGTTGACGCGCTTTTCCCGAAGGTCATAGAACCTTCCGCCGGGGACTCCCATGCTGCTGTGGGGACCGGGGGGTCGAAGGCCGAGGCGGCCGCCAAGAAGAAGAGGGGCGACAAGGGGGTGGAGCCCCCCACCAAGAAACAGAAAGGCGCCGTGGGTGTTGTCGGGGCGGCGGCCCCCCTCGTAATTATTGATGACATGCCCGCTGTTGATGGGCCTCTAGCCTCGGTCTCTCCGAAGGATCCGGTGAATCCCCCCGGGAGGAATTACCCCGGGAGATCCGTCAGCTCTCCTTTGCCCCCGGCGCTTCGTTGATGCACGGCACTGCCGAGCCGAAGGCCTTCCTGCGGGGCATCACCTCGAAGATGGACAGGGAAGTCTTCGAGACCTACGATGACGATGCCCTCGAGAACAGGATCCTCCGCTCCTCGCTCACTGTAAGTATCCGCTTCCTTTTTCCTTATCTTGTCAGTGTAGTCTTATTTTTTCTTGTGGAACAATCTAACTCCTTTGATAATTGTTCGCAGGCCTGCATAGCCCTCGGGGAACAGGCCCGGAGGCGCGAGGAAAGGCGTCTTCACGAGGCCGCCCAGGATAAGAAGGTGGAGGGGCTGATCCGTAAGAACTCCGAGGCGGTGAAGCATGCTGCCCAGCTGGAGGGGGCCCTTCGGGAGGCGAAGGCGGCGGCGGAGAAGGCCAAGGCTGATGGTATAGCCGAAGGCAAGGCAGAGGCCGAGAGGGCTGCTGCCGAGGCGGCGAAGAAAGCCGCCGATGAAGCCCAAACTGCTAAGGAGAGAGCTGCGGCCGAGGCCCGAGGGGAGGCAGTTGCGGAGTTCCTTGCTGAGGGCTGGAGGGCCGAGGGCCATAAGGAGTGGGTTGCCTCCGTGGTGGCAGCCTCGGTGGACGCTTGGGTAGAAGGCCCCGGGGTTGACTGGCTGACCGATAGGGGCGACGCCTACTATCAGGGGGGTGAGTTTTTTACCCAGCACCTGATATACCGGAGGCTCGCCAGGCACTTCGGTGTATCCCTCGAACAATTTGACCCCTCGGTATACGGCCTCCCTCCGTTGCAACCAGATGTCAGAGTTCCCCTCCCCCCGGGTGAAGAGCGGCCAACAATCTATGATTCTGTGATGATGGGGGGTGACGGGGTTGGAGCCGTCGGGGGTGATGCTGCCGGAGAAGAAGTCTCCTCCAAGGCTGTCGTGGAAGATGCCCCCGGTGACAACGAGGCTGAAGCTGCCGAGAAGACTATTACTTAGTCAATTTTTTTTTTAAAAAAGCCTTGTAATGAAACTTTTGTTGCCCCTCGGCTTTGGCCACACTCTTTAATGATCACATTGACTATTTTTGTGTTGTAATTGAATGATTGCCTTCGGGCTTGGTGTATATGATATGCTTCCTTCTGATCTGTTCATTGTTGAATGTATGCCTTCGTCTTTGTTTTGAATGTATGTCTTGTTCCTTTGAATGTATGTCTTAGGACTTAGAATACCATCTGATTGTAGCTAGCCCTTGGGAGCCTTCGGTAGTTGGGCACCCTCCGCTGGGTATGCAACCGAGGGTTCAGCAGCAATTAGGACTTAAAATTTTTTTCTAAGTGTAGATTTCTAAGTGTAGATTTCTAATTGTAGATTTCCCCTTGAGAGCCTTCGGGATATGGCCTCCCTTCCTGGTGTGTGAATGTTGGACCGAGGGTTCAGTAGGAATCAGGACTTAGAGATTTTTTGCAAGTGTAGTATGTCATGTAGCCTTCGGCTACTGTGGAGCCCCAACTGAAATATTGAATAGGCCGGGGGCCAATTCTTTAGGACTTAGGACATTTTCTTGAGTGTTGATTCCTTGTGTACCGTAGCTCTCGATTGATAGGTAGCCTTCGGCAATTAGGTCCCTTGAGATGAGGGTGAAATATGTAGGACTTAGAAAATCTTCTAAGTGTAGAGTTTCCCTTGGGAGCCTTCGGGAGTTGGCATCCCTTCATGATGTGTGAGTAGCTGTCCGGGAGGGAAATATGTAGGACTTAGAGAATATCCTAAGTGTAAATCTCCCTTGGGAGTCTTCGGGAGATGGCATCCCTCCTTGGTGTATGAGTGGGTGACCGGGAAAAACATGTAGAACTTAGAAAATATTCTAAGTGTGGATTTTCCCTTGGGAGCCTTCGGGAGATGGCGTCCCTCCTTGATGTATGAGTAGTTGGCCGGGGGGGAAAACATGTAGGACTTAGAAAATATTCTAAGTGTGGATTTTCCCCTGGGAGCCTTCGGTAGATGGCGTCCCTCCTTGATGTATGAGTAGTTGGCCGGGGGGGAAAACATGTAGGACTTAGAAAATCTTCTAAGTGTAAATTTCCCTTGGGTGCCTTCGGGTGATAGGTGCCCTCTGATTCCACATCACTTTGCGAGATACCCCGGGGGCTACTCATTCAGGACGGAACACCTTTTTTTTTAAGTGTTGTTGTATTGCATGGCCTTCGGCCACCATATTCCCTTGGCTGTAACATTGATTGGGCCGGGGGCCCAATCTTTGGGACTTAGAAATTTTTCAAGTGCTGCTTCCCTGTGTAGCCTTCGGGTGCCCGGGGGCTGCTCCTTCAGGATTTAGAATTTTTTCTAAGCATACATTGATGTTGACTCCTGTTGTTGTGAAGAAAGCCAATGAGGAGTGTGTGCCCTCGGCATACACTTCAAAAGTCGTAGAATTTGATCCTTGTCATGGGGAAAGGGCCCTCGGTATTTGTGCATAACGGATGCCTTCGGTGTTTGTTTGAAGTACCCGAGGTGTTGTTGAAGCCTTCGGTGTCTTTGTGACCGGAGGTGACCAGGTAGTGGACTTAGCCGTTTCCTGATGATATTTCCTTGAGTAGTATCCTTCGGGAAATAGGAGTCTTCAATTGCCGGAGGTGTTCCCGTGGGGAGCCCTCGGCATGTTGTGATTTTGTTGGAGTGCACTCTTTGATTTCTCGCTGAGTCTACTCCCCTTCACCCCCTTTTTTTTTGTTTTTTTTTGGGTGGTGAAGGGAAGGCATCAAGAAACTTGGTTTCTTGGTAAGGCTGGGCCTATTAGGAGACCATCAGAATACACTAATGGCTCTCCTCCCTCGGGTTAACCTTCCGAGTGCCGAGGGGATCGAGGGACGTTTCCTGGGCACAAGATATGGTGGTCCGTAACCTGCCTCCCCTTGGGGGATGGCGCGGAAAGCGCCTCATTTTTGAAAGTCGTCCCCTCGGTGCTAGACATAGTCTGTGGCCTGCCACACCCTTGGGGTGGTGGCGCGGGGAGCGTTTCGGTTTGGAAGTCGAATCCTGGGCATTTCTCATGCCTGTCATACCCTGGGGGTAGTGACGCGGATAGCGTTCCATTTTTGAAAGTCGAATCCTGGGCATTTCTCATGCCTGTCATACCCTGGGGGTAGTGACGCGGAAAGCGTTTCAGGGAAGGGTTTTCATTTGCACACTAGTTGCAAATGGCCGGGGGCACTACGTGCCACCGGCACCGATGGTGGCGCCTTCGGTATATGCGTCCTCGTGGGGTACAGCTTTTAGAAACAACACTTGGTGTTAGTTTCGATGTGTAGCCCCCCGGTACTTGGTACCGAGGGGTCTTCTGTAGGAACACTTGGTGTTCTCTTGTTGTAGTTGATGTAGGCGTCTACCCTCGGTACTTGGTACCGAAGGGTCTTCAAATGAAACACTTGGTGTTTCCCAATAGATGTTTGGAAGCTGTTAGGAGAGCATATCCCTGGCACTGGGTGCCGAGGGGTCTTCTTTGAAACACTTGGTGTTTTTTCTTCGTTTCGATATTTGATGAGGGAGGTGTGCCCTCGGCACTGGGTGCCGAAGGGTCTTCTGTAGGAACACTTGGTGTTCTAATCTTTTCTTTTTTGATGTTGAAGGTGGGGAAGTACCCTCGGCACTGGGTGCCGAGGGGTCTTGACTGAAAACACGTGGTGTTTCCACTGTTTGTCGTAGGTGTTGATGGTGTCCGCCCTCGGCAATGGGTACCGGAGGGGGTTCTTCTTGTGGTGAGGCCTGGGCCTGTAGTCAGTATGAGGGCTTGATGTCTTGAATGTATCTTTATTCTTCGAAATTGGAGGCCTTGGGCCATTGGATAGTACATTCACTAGTTATGAGGGCTTAGCCGCTCTTACATTATTGATAAAATTTAACTAAATGGTGTATATTCCAGTGCCTAGGGACCTCTTTCCCGTTGGGGCGTTTGAGTTTGTAAGTCCCGGGTTTGATGATGGCTGCTATGATGTAGGGGCCTTCGAATTTTGGTGCCATTTTTCCTCCCTCGGTTGGTTGGCTGGCTTCCCTCCTCCGGAGGACATAGTCCCCCACTTGAAATTCCCGGGTTCGAACTTTGGCGTCGATGTAGCTTTTAACTTGCCTTCGGTAGTTTTCTGCCCGGATGAAGGCCTGCTCCCGGCGTTCTGAAATGAGGTGCAGGTCGAGGGCCATGTTGCTGTCGTTGACCTCGGGGTCATATTGGATCACCCTTCGGGTAGGAAGGGTGACTTCCGTAGGAGCTTTGGCTTCAAAACCGTAGCAGAGGGAGAAGGGTGTTTCACCTGTAGCGCGCCGAGGGGTAGTGCGGTAGGCCCAGAGGATGTTGTGAAGTTCTTCCACCCAGCCACCTCCCTCGGCCTCCAGCTTCTTTTTGAGGCCTTCGAGCAAGGTCCGGTTGGCGTTCTCTACCTGCCCGTTGCCTTGAGGGTAGGCAACGGAGGAGAAGGTGTGTTTGATGCCCCATGCCTCCAGAAGGGCACAGAAGGGGGCTGCCTCAAATTGTGTTCCATTGTCGGAGATGATCTGCTGGGGGACGCCAAACCTTGTGAGGATGTTCCTGAGGACGAAGTGACGACACTTCGCCTCTGTGATGCTGGCGAGGGGTTCAGCCTCCACCCACTTGGTAAAATAGTCGACGGCCACAATGATGTATCTGTTGTTGGAGGTACCCCTCGGCAGAGGGCCCACGAGGTCTATCCCCCATCGAGAAAATGGGACAGATGTGCTGATGGGGGCATAGTTGACCGCTGGCCTGCCGGGGGCTTTCTGGAAATGTTGACATGCGGTGCACCTCCGGGCAAGGTCAGCACAATCCCTGGCCATGGTTGGCCAGAAGTAGCCCTGGAGAATGAGCCTTCGGGACATGGAGAAGGGTCCCTGGTGAGCTGAGCAAGTGCCACTGTGCACTTCCTCCATTGCGACCTCGGCTTCATCTGGATGAAGGCACCGAAGTAGCGTGCCATTGTAAGATCGTTTGTAGAGCCTTCCACCTTCGATGGTGTAGCTGGGAGCCCTCAGCTTTGCCAGTTTAGCGCGGGCCTCATTCTCGGGTAGCTGCCCTGTGGAGATGAAGGCGGTGATATCTGAAATCCAATCCTCCTGACGTCGTTGTACGTTCATCACGGGGCTTGCATGGATGCTTGAGAGGCTGAGTTCCTCGATTTTGGCAATCTTGGAGATGTGCTCGGGGGAGTCTGCCGAGAGTTTAGATAATATGTCGGCCTCGGAGTTCTGAGCCCTCGGTATTTGAGTGAGAGAGTGTGCCTCAAATACCTTAAGCAACTCCTTGGCTGCTTCCTTGTACTGTTTCATTCTTCCTTCCTTGGCCTCATATTCTTCGGAGATTTGGCCAACGACCAACTTGGAGTCGCATTTGATGTGGATCTGCCGAGCCCTCATGTTGGCAGCCAGCCGAAGGCCACATAGGAGGGCCTCATACTCGGCTTCATTGTTGGAGACCTTGAAGGAGAAGCGGATTGCATAGTAGGCCCTGAAGCCCTCGGGAGTAATGAGGACTACCCCTCCCCCGCATGCTTTGGTCGCGGAGGAGCCATCAGTGTAGAGGGTCCACCAGTCGTCCGAGGTAGCCGAGGGGTCCCCGTCCGTGGCTGCCCTTGCGGTACATTCCGTCACAAAGTCCGCCAGGGCTTGGCCCTTGATGGCAAGCCTTGGACGGATGTCAATGTTGTACTGGCTCAAGAAGATAGCCCATTTCACCATGCGGGAGGAGCTGGTGGGGCTCCTCATGAGGGCGCCGAGGGGTTGATGGGTGAGGACCTGAACCGGGTGGGCCTGAAAGTAGTGGCCCAACTTCTTGACAGTCCAAACGATGGCTAACACAGTTTTTTCCACAGGGGAGTACCTGAGCTCAGCCTCCCTTAGGGTCTTGCTAACGTAGAAGATGGCATGTTGGATGCCGTCTTCCTCCCGGATGAGCACAGAGCTGATGGCCGCCGGGCTTACCCCAAGGTAGAGGTAGAGGGTCTCCCCTACCTTGGGTTTGGAGAGCACAGGAGGTGAAGATAGATATCTTTTGA